GTTTTGTTATCTTTTCAATAAAATTCTTTAAACTAAAAATGTACCGTTATGATAAAGAGACTTTTTAGCAATTTTCTGATAAAATCATTATTCGATTACCTATGGAAATACTAGAATTTCTAAGCAAAGACACTGAAGGAAAACATATTTACAGACTTAATTTGAAGTCAGCCTTACACCTTTAAGAAAATTCTACAAAGAGCGAAACAAATAATGATTGGACGAGACAAAGTCGAGGATAGATTGTGTATGCGCCAAGCTCTGTCCAATTTTCCCGAGTCATTAAAAATATATGGTCTGGAATTGTCTTGATAGAGGGTAAAGATCAATTTCGCTCCTTAAGCGCATTAATTGATAATAGTAGAGAGTGCGATTATTCATCCGACCGGATGATAATGCCCTATTCCCTTCCAAAGCCGCGACACGCAAGACATTGCCTGACCTTTACCATTTACCCATTAATGTCCTATACGGACCGATTGTTATCAATCTCTACAAAAATTACTCGGTTTGATTTCTCACCAGTTCCAACGATTTGGAAATGAGATTCAGTTCATTAATGTGGCACTCATATGTTGAACTTCTTTTGGTATATAGTCTTGTGCATGTGGTTGAAAATTGTTTAGCGGCTAATGTGTAGTTCTGAAGCGATGTCATAAGAAGAAATGTCAGTCTTTCTCACAGTTTTAAAGAATTATTTTTGTTTTTTTTTTTTTTTAAAAACGTGAGCGTAATTTCGAGAGAGGAATCTAGGAAGCCGGTTGTTTTCTGCTTTTTGGTTAAAGCATTTCTACCGCGAACATTACAAATTTTCCCACAAGCTTTTAAAGCGTTCTGGTAGGCATAAAGGCATCTATTAAGAAAAACGCGACACACTAACGCATATTTATTGTAGGCTAATGCTATAAAAACATTTTTTCCAAAAATAACTTCTTTCAATTCCTTTAGCACACTTGCAACAAACTGAATTTGCGATAATTTTTTTTTCATTCCTTTAGGTTGATTGATACGCCAAGGTTCACTTAAAGGCCGTTACAAATGTCTAACATTTTTGCTTGCTTCCCTTTCTTTAATTTTTATCACTCTTTTTTATACATATACACGCAATAAGTGGGTCTTTATAAAACAAAGCAAAGCATTCAGAAAACATTGCAATTATGCGTCTTATCAAGAACTTGAATTCGCTTATGACGTAATGTCCGTACGCAAGCACATTATACTAATTGGTCTGCTGCGATCGTTTAATGCTTCGCTACGCTTAGTTGAAAAAATCTGCTTCTTCTTTTTCTTTTTTTTTTTTAATACAAATTGTTTTTATACTCAAAGAAAGAATATTAGCCTATAATCTGGCAATTATAGATAGCGATTAATGGTATATTAATGGTGATGATTAATGGTAAAGTAACGATTGTTAACTAGTTCTGAATTCAAGTAAGTAAATTTCAAAGCTGAAGAACTGGAGATTCAATATTATTTCTTAGATGCCGGTATAAGTTTTTAATATAACTACGCTTAGGTATCGATTAACGGTTTTGCTCTCTGCGTATTCTTAGCAATCAGTCAACCAGCTAGCGTCTTAAGGAACTAATACTAACTTGTAAGGATTTTGTTTAATCTTTTTTTTTTTTTTTTGTAAGTAATGGCTTAAATGTTCAAGAATAATATGCAAAAGGTTTTATATAATAATCCAAAAACGCAAGTATTCGAGTATACTTCAAACTTCGTTAGGTTTCTCTTGAAACTCCTTCTCTTGTCGATCTGGCCGTGTTTCTAGCGTGCCTCAATTTTCAATCTATTGTCTTGAACTTTCAACATTGTAATCTTATAATAGAACTTCCATGTAAGGAACATTGAAGATTTTCTTGCTTTTACCGGATTTTTTATAGCCGATTTTCGATAGCTTTCTTTTATGAAGAGCAAGATTTTTTTTGTTTAAAAAGCAATCAAAAAAAAAAAAAACTTTTTCTTATTAGGAAATTTTATAATGAAATTACAATTACAATTTAAAGTCGATCGAATGAAGTACACTAGAGCTATGACCACGGAATGCTCTTAACATAAAATTATTAGGTCAAGTGTTTGAATTTTCTGCAATTTGAAGTGACTTGGAACTATATTCATACTGAAATGATCTAGAAAATGTTAAATCCTGACATTTATTATTAGTTTTAGACACTTTCGTAGACTATCAAAAGCCATTTACGAAATTAATATGCGACTACAGACAAAAAAACAAAAAAAGAAACGTAACAAACATTAGTTTTCGTTTGCCATAGGGCAATAAACGATAGTAGCAACGACGTAATTGACGGACGAACAAATAGATGTAATTAAAATGACTAAAAATTTGTTTGCATACGCTAGTCAATAGCATTAAACAAACTATTAAAGTCTATATCTATGAGGCAACTATTAAGCATAAGAAGTGTTTACTTGATATTGAGCATTGAGCGTTGAACGTTGCTGAAGCGTACATAAATACATTCATTAGAGACCTTGTTGAAAAAATTGATGAATATCGAGAAAAAATTATTTTCAATAGACTCGTGTCACTCAATCAGAGCAGGAAAAGTAAGTTTCTTTCTTCTCATACAAAGTGTTGCTCTACACACTGTTCTATTCGTTTATTTCAAACTTTTTTTTTTCAAAACAGTGAAATTCTTGTTGTACTGAAGCTCATTATGCAAAGCGACATGTTTACATACATATGTATAGATATGTCTATACATACTGAAGCATGAATATATTGTTTGTTGACTATTGATCATTATGATGATCATTAGCACTTTATCGATATTGATGTCTTTAAGTTTGAGTTTTTCAAACTCGACATTTTTTTTATACTTTAACACAAATACAAACTAAAATAAAATTTTTTTTTTTAATTTGAATATGTTTCAGAAAAAGAGAACCACCATGCACATATCCAATCAAATACACACATAAACATGGTAATATGCAAAACACGATAAGCACACTTTTGCGCTCTCCCAAAAAAAAGAAAAAAAAAACAGACAACATAAAAACAGACAACATAAAAACACATACGAACTTGTTTACTTTATACACGTATAAGCGTTACCTAGGCATATCTCTCTTTGTATGGGTAAAATTAAGAAAAAAAAAAAATAAATAAAGGAAAATAAAAAGAAACAAAAAAAAAAAAAAGATTTCTTTTACTCGTATTTGTTTTTGTAACATATGAAGAGATTTTTAGGTTGGGACAAACAAAATTACATACGAACGCCGACCTGTACTGAAATAACATTTTTTTTTTTTTTTCATTTTTATGCATATTTTGTATGCTTACGCTATTTTCTCTCTTTCGCTCTGTCTCTCTGCGTCCGTGTATCTGTATCTGATTCTTTTCGTGTTTTTTTATTTTTTTTTTTTTTACTACAATTTATCTTTTTGTTGTTTTTGTTGCTTTAAGAACTGGTTTTAAGTTTTACGTTTTTGTTTTTGTAAATGATTTGACTTTTTTTTCTTCTTTTTTTTTTTTTTTCTTTTTGCAATTGTGCTCTTGACTGCATTACATTATGGGAAATAATGAAAACGAAACTACATATATGAAACAATTTTTCATAGAATTTTTCATAGAAATTTGACAGAGCTAGATATTAATCTAGTTTTGTTCTATCAATTTTTTTTCTTTTTCCTCTATATGTATATTTAAAATGTTTATTATTAACTAAAAGCAGTTTTATGATTTTAGCTCACCTTTTTATTTAAAATATTTAATAATTTATATTATTATCTGCTTTTGTGTGTGTTATTAACAAAGCTTTTACACACTTCACAATATATATGTCATTCAACGTACAACGTACAACGTTCGTTAAGTAAACGTTATATATATATATATATATATATATCTATTTTTCAACTTAAAAAAAAAAAAAAAGAACCAAAAAAAAAGAAAAGAAAAACAGCAACGACACGTTTAAAAATTTAATTTCATTAAAATTTCAATGAAAGCACTTTTTTCATGCACCGATGCACTTTCAAAATGCGATCTTTCCGTTTACTATGCGGCAATTGTGTACTTAAAGTGCTACTGCTCTACAACAACAAACCAACTGCTGCTTTCGCTGCCAGTAACGGTGGCTGGTGGTGCATTTGCTGATGTTGACGATGATGATGTTGACGATGATGAGGAGAATGAGGATGATGACGATGACGATGACGACGACGACGACGGCGAAGATGATGGTGGTGGTGGTGTTGGTTTTGGTGATGATGATGGTGCTGGCCGTGTGTATTTGTGCCACCGAGTTTCGCGTTGCGGATGCGGCTTCTGTCTGTTATGTTGCACGGTTAAATATTTTAAAATTTACAAGAGTCTAACGTAAAAGCACCACGATAACATTAAACAACGACAGAAGCAACAAACAAACATTAACACGAATAAATAATGCAGCTGAGTTCTTTTTCTTTTTTTTTTTTTGGGGTTTTTTTTTTTTTTTTTACACACACAAAACGATAAAAAAGCTACCGCTGTTGCTGCTACCGCACAAAAAGTGTCTGTAGAGTGAAGAATCAATGATGTTTCAGGCGCTGGTTTGATTCTCTACAAATTTACATTTCATTAATTTTGATTTTTAAATGCGAGTTGAAAGTAGCGCTCTTCTCGTTGTTTCACAGCTAACTGGCGTTTACAAATTTCTGTAAATCATCATCACTTGCAATCCAAGATCGTTAACCAAGTCTACATTTGAAATCTCTTCTTCACCATTCATTTATTTCTCTTTCCGCATTTCTCTCTCTTTTCTTGCCTGCATTGCGCTTATCTCTTGGGGTTGTTGCGTTCATGATCACAATTCTCTTTCACACATAACCGAACTCTTAAATTCAAGTTCATTCTAAATGTTTGTTTTTATATGCTGTACATATACGCTTATATATATATATATATATATATGTATATAGAGGCATATGTGCACATGTGTGTTTATATATAAGATTATATGTTATTGTTAGTTATAGCGTTTTGCATAATTAGTTAGAGGCGAACTCACCGATCAATGTAAACCAGATCGAAGCGGACTTTCGTGCATATGCATGCCAATGTTCAAATATTTCAAATCGCCGTTAAGAGTAAAATTTACAAAAAGTGTTGGGTATGAATTATGCTTGGACAACATCTTTACCGAGTTTTCTCATTAATTTACCCAAAATCTTTCAGACGAATAGACTGATCGTCGCTTTTCACCAGTTTTGCGCTTTGCATTTGAAACTCTCAAGATGATAATTGTTCCAAATTCATTTTTCATTTCATGCTTTGTGCATTGATCAAAAAAAAAGCAAAGAAATAAAGCTATAATGGAACCTAAATTTCTTTATAATAATAAAACATTTATTTCTCATCCTTTACTTTATGTCCGCCATAATAATTATATCATGTCGACACTCGCTTGAAACGCTCAACTATGCGTTTGAGCTTTTAAAACTCTTCAAGCATAACATTTATAGCGGATATCGTGTTAGTCTTAACTGTGGAATAAATGGACAAAGTTTAGGTTAAAAAAAAAAAAAATATAAAGCCACAAAAACCAAAAACTTTTCAAAAAATATGATAGATAGAAGAAACAACGAGACTTACAAAAAAAAAAAAAAAAAAAAAAAAAAAAAAAAAAAAAAAAAAAAAAAACCCTTGAACAACAAGGAAAAAGAAAGAGGATAAATTTTGTGACTGGAGTAGAAATGAAAATATTTGCGTTATCCTTTTGAGAAAAACTCGGCCCACTATGCTGGCAAAATTGCTCATCAACACAATAAAGGGTTACTTAATATAAGCCACGCATGTAGTAGATGTGCCTGCGAGAGGATTTTTTTATAAAATAAAAAACATAACACATTTATTTACCCTCAAAAGTCAAGATGTATTAAAAAAAAAAAATAAAATAAAATAAAAAAAACAAGTCTATTCAAATTTCATATTAATTTAACATAAAATTATATATAAACTGGATCGTTATTCATTCATTCCCTTTTGGGGTGTGTTATTAAAGACCGGCATATTTGCGTTCAATCAGCCTGATGTGGATTGAAATTTAAATTAATTGTTAGATGATTGTTAAAAATTGGTATTTGCTTTTATGTGAAACCTAAAGTAATTGGAAATTTTTAAACTCCTTTTTATCCTTTCGAAAACCTCTAGTTATGAAAAGATGAAGTTTTTGTTATATTTTCTTTTTCGTTATTTCGAAGTTCAAGTAAATGTTTTTCTTTTCTTCTCGAACAAATAGACCAGTTTTTGATGACAAAAATTTATGTTATTATTTTTTTTTTTTTCCTTTTTTAGTTGAAGTCTTTTTACCTACAACATTCCATTTACAAAATTTGTGAACGATGAAAAAAAGTTCAGTTCAGTTAGATTAATATATCAAGATAATGTTATGTGGTAATATAAAACGGACAAAGTGTATATTTTCGATATGATTTGGCTTCATTTTACTTAAGTATGATGATGAATACCTGATAGTTATTGTTTTTTTTTTTTTTTTTTTTTTTTTATTGTTATTAGCATTTATTTACTTTGCATAATCTTTTAATTCTGGCGTCATCCAAAGATTAATCTTACGTCGTTAATTGAATAGCACAGAAATTGTTATCTAAATCATTTTTTTAGACTTGTTCATCTATACTATGTATTCTCCTAATTACAATTCTAACATTTTTCTTTATTTGCTGCTCTAACTGAAGGTTTTCTAATTATTTCTTTCAATTTTTAGTGAGCATTAGAAAATATTTTAAATTCGCTATCGATTTCGCTTTGGTTAGGCGCCTGTTTATTCGCTTATCCCTCTACTCGTTATTCCGACGAAAACTGCGTCCTTCGTTTATTGCAATAATTCGTAATAATAAAGTAACATCCCATCAACAAGTCTAACAATGCATTCATTTTCTTGATCCGTCCGTCCTTCCGCTCTATTTTACGGTAGTCCGGCCGATTAGTAAAATTATCCTCTCTATTCGCGTGTTCTCTGCTTACACTATTGCCAAGTCATTAAGCCTATTCTTCACTGTATCCAATCGTCACGATGTCCGTTCGTCGCTTTGTCCGTGCGTCCATCCGAGTAGGCAAGAGTCTCTCGACTAGCAACTCAATGGTCGTGGGTTCAAATCTCAAGCGCAGTAGAGGGTTTAATAAAACCGAAAACCTTAGACGGTAGTGCTTTAAGGCTTTAGTCTTAGAATTTATTCTCTGGCCAAATTTATAATAATAATAATAAGTTAAGAAATCTTGATCGAAAAAATGCTCTGATGTATAACAAAATTGTAGAAAAAATGTAATTAAAAGCAATAATAAGGAACCATTATCTTGTAGAGTCTGCATATAGCCCGCTCTTAAGGCGAGTGCGTATTTTCGATTCACTTGGGCATGTTAGTCGTCAAGAAATAGAAATCGGGTATTTCAAAAAACACGACACTAAGAAAATAAGTAAAAGTTTTTGAATGAAACTTCAATTCTTCTTAAAAGTAGAAAGTAAAACTCATCTCAAACAGATGGTCATTAAAAGATGACTAATTAAGTCAGATTAAATTGTATTAAAAGTAAAAATTTTTGCTCTGTTCGTTACTAAAACACTTTTTTAAATACAAAAAATGTAAATTCACCGAACTCTTTTTTTGCGCGGTCTTTTTTTACACGATTTTTAAATAACATAATACGCTTTCCTTACACAAACTTCTTGTTCTAGTATGAACCAAAAAAAAAAAAAAAATTTTTTTTTTCAATTCTAATTCACACGATTTTTTTTTTTTGCTCGGATTTTTAAGAAACGCATCTACCGTGTAAAAAAGAGTTGCGTGTATAATATTTTATTGTTCTGTGTGCGTTTCAAATTATTTCACAACTTATTTTATGAGTGGCAAAACTACTCTTTGGTAGAAATTCTTTTTACATACTTATCAACTTTCACACATAGGATTAACTCATCTGCTATAGCAATCTTTTATGTTCCTATCTTCAATTGCGAAATAATCGCCATTGGATCAATATTTTCGACAGTGTATAACTCATATATATATGTATATGTAAAGCGTTATTATACTTTTCTGCATTCATGTGCCACTGTATAAAGAAAATGAAATTTTGCATTCTCTTACGCGTTATATATACATCCTTCTGCATACCAAAAAAAAAAAAAAAAAAATGTTCGCAACTGTGTAAGTAATAAATACAAACTGACCTGTTGCTACCTTAGTGCAAAAATAATTTATATATATTTTTATCTTTTTTTTCTTTTCTTTTTGCATTTCGAATTCCTCTTCTCTCTTCTATGCAACTTTCGTGATGCTCCATCCAACGTCACTTGGGAAAACCCAGATAGCCTTTTTCTGAACTTATGACTTCAAGCTTATGTTACTCTTATATATATATATATATATATATGTCTAAAGTATTAAGAAGATTTAAAAGGAATTTCCCTTGTCTTCCATTCGTATATAAGGCTTTTTATTCACTTTCACCGTAAAACTAAAACGAAAACGTCAACGTACTTTTTCTTCCTTTGTAGAATATTTAAAATTCATAAGAAATTATTACAATGCTCCACAAGATAGATGTACAGTGCATTTTTCACATTAACTACACAGTGTGAGGGTAAACTAATTTAATCTCATTGCATTTTTACTTACAAAAATATTCGTCGTCGAAGCTTTCTTAATATATGCAATAGTTTCGTAAGCGAAGTGATATCATTTGTCTGTCTTAGCTCATAAGTCACAATTTAGCATATTTTCCTGATCAGTGAGCTAATTCACATCATATTCAAAGGAAATGAAGCTTGAATTGTCCTGGGAACTTGATACATGTCCTTTTACTTCTACAAAACATGTTTAAAGGAAATCGACCT